CGACGAAATCCATGTTGCTACAGTCTAAAGCTGATCACCTTTGCATTGCATCAGGATTCTCGTTGACCGGGCCCATCACCGACGAGCATCAAGTTGGAAATGCAACTATTGCCGACCTGCATCTCATCGGTAATGAAATAAAAGCTGCAACGCCACCGACCAGCAGCCGGATTCACGGGGAGTTGTTGAATGCCAAATTACCGACAAGGCTTATGTCGGCAAATTTCAGCAAAAAGCTGCACTCCCTGCCGTAGGCGGCCAGCTGGTTGGCGGGGGGGTGCATTGGGAGTGGAAATTACCAAGAAGTGGGACGTTGGAAATTGATCCTCAATTACCGACGAGACTATCGTTCCAAAGTTGAATTTACAGGCATTCTCCTCGTCGGTGATATGGGTTTCCGTTCTTCTCTCACCGACCGGAGTAGATGCTGCATTTACCGACGAGTGACACGTATGTATTATCTTAAATTACCGACAAGTATTACGTCTGTATACTAAATAATATATCTTACTCGCGTTTCTACTATTTCTCAAGTTGCAGACTTGATTCTTGTCGGTAAATTGATACTTCACCGAGAAACCTTCTTACCTCGGTGATATTTGGTCGGTGAAGCTAGGTTTTCTTGTAGTGAACTAGTAATGGCAATGGAGACAAATTTGCTCCTCGCAAAATTTCCCTTTGGAGGGGAACCTCTCTTTGACGTCTCAGGGCTCCATTGCCATTTCTAGATATAAAACATAAAAGAATTGAATGTGCTTTTCAATTCAATAGCAAGGTAAATTTTGTCTTTGTCTTTTTCTCTTTTTTTTTTTCTTTTTAATTATTACTATTTATTTGACTAATTACTAATTTCACTCTGTTTCATTATCGATTTCCATCTTTTCGTTTTTCTGGCCAACGAACTTTTATCATTGGTAAATCAATAGAATTTATTAAGATAATGCTTAAGCTATATATATCATTAAGGGGAGATTTTCATAATTGTGTAAATGAAATTCTACGTCGAGTTGAAAGTGATATGTGTAAATGAATGGTTCTTCTATCATCCTCTCTTAGAGAACAATGATATATATGTTAGAAAATTGCAAAGATACATTCGGTATTTTGCTTTTGATTTTCATTACTAATTTGTATAGTCATCAATTTCTTAAAGTAAATAATATCTTATACTCATATACAAAATTAAAAAAGAATTCTTACGAATAAAAAGTCAAATTTATTTTACTGTAATATTCCTGTGGAAGGCATGGGTACCATCAAGAACCTGACGTATAAAACGGGTGAAAACAGTACTATTTGTCACCCACTTAACCAAGTTTCGAGAGCTCTTAGTCTCATTTTCCTTCCCCATTCCCCAAAAATTGTTTTAGTTTAAATAAAAAAAAAAAAAAAAGAGGCACGGGTACTATCTGGTCGTTTACAATTTAGGAAAAGTATTTGAGTGGCGGAGGCACGTGGAGATCAGGGGCGGTAGCCCGCATTGGGATTTAAAAAAAAAATTGTATAGGATTAATTTATTTATTATTATTATTAAAATTTAAGTATTATATTTTTAATTATTAAAATACATAAAATAAAAAAAATCCAATAATAACAGGGTATTTTAAGAATCCAAATATAATCTATATAATCAATTATTCATTTTAATAATTAAAATATTTATTATTATTTAAAAGCAACCAATCTTAAGGTCGAATTTTGTAGAAAAAGAAAAAAAAAATCAATTCTTGTGCCTTCTATGTCATTTCTTCAGTATCCAATCCAACTATTCCAATGTCAATTTCCTTCAACTAATCAACCTAAAAAAAATCAATTCTTGTGTCTTCTATGTCATTTTTTCAGTATCCAATCCAACTATTTCAATGTCAATTTCCTTCAACTAATCAACCTAAAAAAAAGAGAGAAAAGAAAAAAAAAGACTCTAGCGGCGATTCGATGCAAGCCACTGCAACACTACTCTCCTCATTAAAACCTTGAAGACAAATTAAGGGACCACTAAAGGGATTACTAACTTTTTAGTAAAGACTAAAAACAATACTGTCTCTTTTTATATGAATCATATATTGTTATATTGGGTTTCAACTTTAAAGTTTTGTAAGTTTATTTTATTTTATTTTAAAATTTTGTTTTATATTT